CCTTCGATCAAGGCTAACAATTATTCCTCAGGTACTGTTTCTGTGTGTCACAATGAAGGACTGTTTTCTAACAGCTTAACAAACCATAAATAATGGTTTATCCAAAGAGGAAAATGTTTTGTTACACTCAGAAAATTGTTTCAGAAAATCAAACTATTTATACTTTCACTGGTCCCATCCTGCCACTTATAAGCTGGGTGATAAAAAAGGATTTAGAATAAACCATCTTTAGAGCTGAAAGTTGGGTTTGAACTGTATGATGTAAAGTATTTTGAGAGAGGATGGGATTGGGAGGTAGCCTACCTGCAATGCAATGGACATCTCAAAGCAGCAGCCCAGTACAGTATCTGTACTTAAAACAGCTAAAGCACTTGTCTAATGAAAATTGGTTTTATATCCAGGATCCTGTCCTCTTTTCTGGAACACTGAGGATGAACCTGGATCCATTTAATAAGTATTCAGATGAAGAAATATGGAAAGCACTTGAACTGTCTCATTTGAAGAGGTTTGTCAGCAGTCAGCCATCCATGCTGGACTATGAGTGCTCAGAGGGTGGAGAGAATCTTAGGTAAGGAATGCCTTGACTAGAGCATACACTGAGCTGTCATTCAGCTGTGACAGTGGGTGACACCTGAGCACAGGCTAACATTGGTCTGTCATATCTGAAATGATTCAGGCACCTGTTTCTGTTCCGAGAAAGCCACCAATGTTCAAACGTTTGCCTCCTCTTCTGCCTCTGCTACAAATGATCTGATTCCTCTCCCAAACCCAAATCCCATCTTGTCAGAAAGAAGTTTTAGGATTGCAGGATATTAGGGACAGGCAGCCCCTTAAACACATTCTGATAGGAAGGGAAATGCCATGATAACATTACTGCTGTGCTGAGTAAGAGTTCTCTGCCTGACACTTCAGCAACATTTATTTTCCATTACTATTTGAAAGGCCCATGAAGACATGACTGGGGATGATAAAATGCCATGTTCTGATATGCTTCATTGGCTTCTGAGGCTGTGGTGTCACCAGATTGCCTGTGATGAATGTTTGGCTCCTTCCTCATGGTGCACACACTCAGAGACTGAGTCTGGGCTATGTTTGTGGCAAGGGAGGAAGTCTGGATTGCTCAGATACATGTATATATTTTATTTTTTATGGTAGAAAGGACTTGCAGCCTCATAACATTTTCTTTTCCTTTTTATTTTCTTTTTCCTAAGTTTGCATATGCTCAGTGTTATCAGAACTATGAGTGTTTCTTAAAGCTTGGGCAGAAATGTTGCCATTAGCTGCCCTGGCTTTTGTCACAGTGATAAAAGGTACATTTGGTGGCTCTGCCAGCATAGGGCCAGGCAGTAAGTGATCCTATCCCTGTTAGTGTGGGTATGCTGCAGCCTGCATGTGTGAGCTATGGGGCTGACAGAACAGACAGCTTGCAAAATATTTCAGGGGTTTTTGGGTGACACTGTGAGTGACCTGCTGAGCACAAGTGGCTGTGAGCAGTGGGAGCTGGGCTCACTGCCAGGCTGTCTGTGCTTGCAGTGTTGGCCAGAGGCAGCTCGTGTGCCTGGCCAGAGCTCTCCTGCGCAAAACCAGGATCCTGATCCTGGATGAAGCCACGGCCGCCATCGACCTGGAGACAGACGACCTCATCCAGATGACCATTCGGACACAGTTTGTGGACTGCACAGTGCTGACCATTGCACACAGGCTGAACACAATCATGGATTACACCAGGTGAGATCTCTGAGTAGCGCGTGGTGGGCTCCTGGGTTTGCTGGGGATGTGAAGCAGCACTTCAAGGGGTCTTGTTTGTCTCTAGAGATGAGCACTGGTTCTCTTGTCGGGCAATGTGTAAGCAATGGTGTGCTGTATCATCCCAGAATTTCCAGCCCTGACTTTGTCTCTGTTGGCATAGGAAACAGGTTCTATATTCAGAAACCAGAGCTGTGTAGGGGACACTGTCCAGGGACACTCCTGAGACTGTCTGGAAGCTTATGGAACCTTATTAAACCAGCAGCTGCTGTAACTTCTTCACTAACAGCATGCCATTTTAATTACTTGAAAATATATTAGTATTCTTCATGAGCTTTTATCTCCTTGGCTTTCTGGAACTATAGTTTCACTTCCAGATGCTTTTTTTCCCTCTTCTTGCCCCTGGGAGACAGTGACTGTCCTGTAACATTTTTAGTCAAGCAGCAGCTCAGGGAGAATGTTTATCATCTATTGTGTTTTAACATGTGAAAATAATTGAGGAAAACAAAAGCAAGGCAAAGATTAGAGAAGTTTGCTTTGTGACACAAACAGGTACCGCATTCCTTGTGAGGAATTTTCTGATACATCTTTCCCCCACACCATCTTTTGTTTTGTACAGGGTTCTTGTTCTAGACAACGGGACCATAGCTGAATTTGACACACCTGCAAACCTTATAGCAGCAAAAGGTATCTTCTACAGTATGGCCAAGGATGCTGGACTGGCATGAAGAGAAGACCCCTTGGGTTTTGGTTTGGTGTTTTTTTAATATTACTGTCTTGTCACAAAAGTGACTTGGGAATGTACTGTAATTTACAAAACAGTTTTTGTAGTCGACTCAACTTGTGATATGTGAACAAAGAATTTTACAATTATAAGGACCAGGAAGTGAATTTTACATTTTAAAATATTTTCTATATACATAAAGTATTTTATTACATGGTTTTTTTCCCCGAAGAATGACAAATATTCCGCCAAGAAAATGCATGTACCACAGCACAATTATGTACTGCATTCAGGTTTGTAATTAGTAAATTATATTAATGGTACGAATTACACCTGAGTTGTGTGTTTTCTGCATAAGGATTCATAGGATTTGAAGTGAAAAGACAGGCCTAGTTAAGCTGACTCAGCAGAGTAACAGTGAAATGCTGTGTAACCTCTGAGAAGTTCCAACTTCTTCCTTTCAATATTTCCCCCAGGACAAGGGAGTCCTTGGGACCTTTAGGATCTGTGTCCAGGGCAACTTTGGCATTATAAAATTCCTCTTCAGCCTAAGGAGCAACATGTATTTAAAGCTAAACCTACAAATAGCTTCATATAAAACATTAACTACACAGATTTTTTTCAATTCAATAGACCCCACACAAGCTCACAGGGACACGATTGGACCAGAGGTATGAGAAGTTTGCTGTATGTCTTTGGTAAGAAGTCACTAAGAGCAAGTCTTCACTTAAGCTGAACGTGCCTGCTGAGACAGGTGTGTATTTAGTTTATCTTGTTCAACACTTAATCATCTGAAATAATGGGTGATTTGTTTTGCAGAAATAATTACCTATTTTATTATTGATAACCAGGCCTCTTCAGATAAAAGGAGGCCTGTGTTCAAACTGCATTTGCTGCTAGAATCTGCTAGAACCTCTTTTGCTTTAGTTGTGTCTTACAGTAAGCACTCCAGAAAACCACCCAGCAAGAATAGTTCCTATGTTTTACCAGAAGGAAAGTGCAGAAAAATTTTGAGAAGACAAAAATAATAATTTGTTAATTCTTACAAATTATATTTCTTAAATAGAAACCCAAATCTGCCGCCAAGCATTTATTAGACATTAACATTTCCTATTTCAGAGCACAAAGTAATGAATTATTTATCACGCACAGAATGTGATGGTTATACACTGATGAGAATGGGGAGTGTTAATAGTATCTTCCTGGTATAAACTGCACAAGGTATAAAAATATTCCTGGGAACGCATATATAGGGATCAGCACATGTGCAAGTTGTCCAAGAGATGAGCTTTTCTTTAGGGGGGTCTTACTGGTTAACTCTGAGTCCTCCTGGATTCAACCAATGCCTGAACCATCCTGTGCTGGGGAGAAGGCAGCAGCCAGGGTGACATGAGGAATGACAATTTTATTATTCCATCACAGAGAACTTAACAACCAACAATCTGGTCTAAAAACAGGTATTGTCAATGACTGGAACTATGTTTGACCTCTGGCACTTTGCAGAAGAGGCTTTCTCAGTGTGACAAAACCTTCTGTACTCACCTGGGGAGACTGAGCTTCAGTGTGGTGACTGGGCACAGGATTCAGGTGACAGCAGGGATCTGTGCTGGCTGAGCCCCGGCCTGGCCTGACGGCGGGTAGGGAGCTCCCTCTGGTGTGCTCAGTGCCTGAGTTCCAGCGCTGAGAGCAGCGAGCCTGGGGGCGCCCCGGGGACAGCTCCCACTGCATTGGGGTGACACGGGCAGCGACACGGGCAGCGCTGACCCGCACTGGGGTGACACACGGAGCTCTGACCCGCACTGGGGTGACACGGGCAGCGCTGACCCGCACTGGGGTGACACGGGCAGGGCTGACCCGCATTGGGGTGACACACGGAGCTGCTGACCCGCGCTGGGGTGACACGGGCAGGGCTGACCCGCACTGGGTGACACACGGAGCTGCTGACCCGCACTGGGGTGACACGGGCAGCGACACGGGCAGCGCTGACCCGCACTGGGGTGACACACGGAGCTGCTGACCCGCACTGGGGTGACACGGGCAGCGCTGACCCGCACTGGGGTGACACACGGAGCTCTGACCCGCACTGGGGTGACACGGGCAGCGACACGGGCAGCGCTGACCTGCACTGGGGTGACACGGGCAGCTCTGACCCGCACTGGGGTGACACGGGCAGGGCTGACCCGCACTGGGGTGACACAGGCAGGGCTGACCCGCACTGGGTGACACGGGCAGGGCTGACCCGCACTGGGTGACACGGGCAGGGCTGACCCGCACTGGGGTGACACACGCAGCTCTGACCCGCACTGGGGTGACACACGCAGCTCTGACCCGCACTGGGGTGACACGGGCAGCTCTGACCCGCACTGGGGTGACACAGGCAGGGCTGACCCGCACTGGGGTGACACGGGCAGGGCTGACCCGCACCTGCCGCAGCCCCAGCACAGGGGGAGGCTGTGCTTGGTCCCCGGCCCAGGACTGCCTCAGCAGCTGCACGGACACTGCACAGCCAGTCTCAGACTCTGAACTCCGAGAGAAGACAACAGATAAATTCCTTTGGCAGCTGCATTTTCCAAAGAAACTGGGGGGAAGGTGAATGGACCAGTTTGGTACAGTCTGTTTTCCTGTTATATCTCATGCTTTAGTTTATTCATCTAATCCATAGCACCTGCTTTTCACGTGGCCTAGCAGAGTAGAACTCTTCCTCAAATTCAAGTGACTAAATACTAAAATCCTAAAAAAATCAGATAAAATTCAGCTCTTACATACTTTTCAATTTCTTTATTCAAGAATTTCACAGCAAAGTAGTCAAACTCTGAATTTTAAGTAACTGTGATTTTCTTTTCAGTAAACTGCATGGGTAAACACAAGTCACAGTGAAAAAAAGAAAATACATTGCATAGGAACATCAAGTTTGGCTATCAGCCCCAGAAAATCCTGGGTACTTCACTAGTTTCTTTTTACACAGGTATCTTTATAGGTTCAAGATGCAGTTTTTCTCAGGAATGTAGAGGTCAAAGGAAAATAAAATTACATTTTATGTGCTTTTAAAAGGGGAAATAAAATCAGCATTGAAGAAATGTCAATACAGTAACAAAAATAGTATATTTAATTGCACATGTCATTACATGTCAATTGCTCATGTATATATTAACAGACAACAGGGAAAAAATTCTCTAAAAGGGATTTTGGTTGAGAGCATATTTATTATTTGGACAATTACTGTCACTTTTATTTTCAACCTGAGAAATAGGGAAAAGTGTAAACAGGGATTAAGAAATCACTATAAGTCACTTGATAGAATTTAAACTTGACATAGTTTTGTGCTTCCACAGACGTAAACCCTTCTGGTTGTTTTCCCCTCTAAGTAAGATAGGACTTAATAAACATGATCTAAAAAGAGAATATTGATGGTAACGGACTCAGTAGAAATATTAAATCAGCTTCATGGCAGGTTCTTTAGCTTGAGTACCTCTGCTATTTTATAGCAAACAAATTATTAGAACAGCTTAAGGTAAGCCTTTCCCTGAGAGCTTCTAACTCTGCAGTATTTAATTATCTTTTTGTAAGGAAGTGTTGCATTAACAGATAGTTCTACCAGTACTTCCTGTGCACTGAGCTACTTTTATACCAGACTCACTGTTTGTAGATTAACTAGAAGCTTTAAATGTGCATAACCACTTCAGTTTATTTCACAGTTAACAAAATAGATTTTTTTCACATCATTAGCCCTTATAGGTACTGTTTTTCAAACATAATTGTAAAATGAAAGATAAAAATACTTTGTTTTATTCCTTAATTAGTACGTAAGTTCTGATGCCTTCTTGTTATACCCACTCTGTTCAGAAAGTGTTGGGACTCTGAAAAGTGAGTTTTTGTCGCTTACTGTTAGAACAAGCTCCAGTTCTTGGAAATCCTGTAGCCTTGCAACATCCTTGTCCTTTAAACAAACACAATAAGGAGTTAGGTGATAGTGTTAGTGTCCTTTAATTTTGCAGAGGTAAGTTAAAATAATAAGCTCATACTAACACAAGGTATGTATTTATTTTTAACTATGACAGTTCTTCACAGTGAACTGGAAAGCAAATATCCTGTTGCATCTTGTATTTACTCTGGGGTCTTATTCAACTATTCCCTTAAGTCTATTTTTAGAAGGAATGCAACACTGACAGTGAGTGCAAGTCATGAGTAGGATTACACTTGCAAGATTTGCATGGCACCCAAATCCTTTTCTTTTTCCCCTTGCTAATTCTTAGCATGAATTAGCAAGCTGATGAATCAATGCTTGCATCTTCCCAAGCAGGTCCTGTACGTGGACCTTCATGGCCTGCATGGCTTTCTTCAGGGCTACCCAGCAAGGCCAGCTCTGAGCCCCTGCAGCAGTTCTCTGCTGCCAACAGCAGTACACAGAGTCAGGTTTGTGTCACTGCAGGAACAACAGGGGTCCTGAAGTCCTACCAGAGAGCCTGAAGTGATCAGAGATGAAAATAAAAAGTTCTTTCAACAACAACTAAAGTTGGAAAGTGACAGAATTGCTTATGTCTTTTTTTTTTCCTCCACTTTTTGACTAACACAGAGGAAGACATCCTATAGTCAGTGAAGATGCAGCAGAGTGAAGTCTGTGGATCTATTCCTAATCAGATTTGCCCCAAGAGTGATGCCAACAATACTCTATAAGGATTTGAGAGTGAAAGAAAGGTCCGTGATGAGTTGGTAAAACAGGCCAACAGGTCCCTTCTCTGTTGGCTACAGGCTAAATGCTACTAAAGGAAGGACAATTATGTTCAGAACAACCCTGAAAAACACCTGTGTGCAAGGACTGCAGCCAGGCCTTGCTGAACTCACAGAGCTTGGCTGAGCTCTGCAGGCCTTTTAAATGCTGTTGGCAGCTCACAGCGGTGTTGTGTTGTACTGAATTTTACAACAGAGACATAGAATCAGGTATTAACTGGGTCCAGCACCAAATGGTGATGAAAGCAGGTGATCAAGAAATTTGAGCACCGTTTTACTGAAGAAATCCCAAACGAGTGCTGAGTGTTGCAAGTTGAGCAGAGATTTTTCATTTTTGGTTGATTTTTTTTTTCCAACATGAGCCTATGCAAGTGACCAACAAATTATTCCTTTATACCAGTAACCTAAAAATCTCTTTTCTAAGTTGCTGCACTTCAAAAGGTAGAGCTCTTACCTTTCTTAACATTGTATTTGGTAATTTTCTGATCTTCTGGACATGCTCAGGGTTCACACCCAGCTCATGGCAACTCACTCGGAGCAGCTCCTTGTATGTCAGTTCTTGTCTGTCCAGTTCAATTTCAATGAAGTCATTTTCTCTAAGATTAGGGGTTTGTATTCTCACTTTAAGCACCAGTTCTATTAGAAATAAAAAGTCACATTAATAGGTAGACGTATAAAGAAATTGGAAACAATGTCTCTATAACAACTTCCAGGTATTTCTATGTTCTATTGTTGTTTGTGTCACTGGTAAGAATACATGAATACTCAGAAACCAAAACCTGGAATTGTATGACCACAGTTTCAATTAGATTGATTTTCATCAAACTATATGAAAAAATCATAGCAAATCTAATGCAATATATGTGTGCATGTCTGAACCATTGCATGAATACTCTTTAATTGATTTAAGCTGATTTAACAGCAGCTTGTACTGGTTATCAATTTCCTGAGCAAACCAAGATTGCTTTTATTGGTATTTCTTGCTCTCAGTTCACTTTGCATTGCTACCCCATGGTATCAGAATGCCTTTTACTTGAAGAACAAAATTGTTAACGGTAACTGGAATTCCAGGTTTCCCTCTCTGGGTAGGCAAAGTTTCCCTGCAGAACAGGCAGATCCTAGAACAGCTCAGTGCAAACTGAGCCATGTGAGGTTCTCTTGAGCTCACTAGCTTCTTGCTCATGATCTGTATTTGCAGCTTGGACTATGCTATTTAGAGAATTAGATTACCCTGGTGTCTGTATGCTTTTGTAGCAATTGAGACAGCAAATTTTACATGAATATTTTAATAACAGTTCTAGCAGAAACAGCATATCTGCCTACTTCATTCCCTTCAAATGTTTCCTAAATGGCTAAGCATGGCAATCTGAAAGTCTCCGGAAACCCATGATTAGTCTGCAGTGCCCAAGGTGTCAGAAGATCAACACAAAGCCAGAAGAGACTTTTGGTATTACCTTGCATGTTGAGTGGAAAAGCTCCTGTGAAGAAAACAGGCTGAAAGGCTGGCACAGGTCCCATGCAGGAGCTGTTCCCTTGCTGGGGTAGGGACTGGTTGGATCCTGCTGGCAGAGAGGGACTTCTGCCCCAAGCCACTGAGCCCTGGTAAACAGGAGCTCTCTGCAGGACAGGGTTTGGGTGTGATGGCCCAGCAGACCCTCGAGGCAGGGGTGGGATGTCCCTGTTGGGAGGAGCCTCAGGAGCAGCGTTCCCAGGCTGACACGGCGCTCGTGCTCGTCCACAGGTGTCTGAGTCGGGTACGGGTGGAGGGTTGGTGTCTTGTGGTTCCAAGTGTGAGACATTCCCATTCAGGGGAGGATCTGGAATGCTGGTACTCAAGGTGTTGTAAACATATGGGAAAGGTGGGTTAGCCAGGTAATTGGGGATGATTGGCAGATCTGAATCTTGCTTTAAGTCAGGGAGTTCATCTTCCACTGTAAAACAAACCAAACAACATTCTCCAAGACTGATTTTGGGTTTCTTTTTTTTGGGAATAGAGTGTTAAAAGCATCACAGGTTAAAAGATGCATCAGGAAGCACCATGTCTTTTTTTCGTACAATAAGTAGAATGCTCAGGTGTTGCCATACAGACATAAAAGCTGAGTCTGATTCTAATAATTCCGGGGGTGGTAATTCCTTCTAAACACTGCAGTACTTCTGTTTTGGCTTGTTTTAATCTGTACAGACTATCGTAGCATGGTCTCTGGTGGAATAATGCTGTCATCTTCATAATGTTGCAGGCAACAAAAAACAAAGGGTCATATGTTGTTTGATATTAAGGTAGAGTATAAAGGGAACATGCAATACTGGGAGAGCTGCAGGATTTCCCATTCAACAGCTGGGAGAGACAACAGTGAAAACAAAACCAGACACAGGAGTACACAGGAGAGACAAGATGTTGTTAATCAGCTGCATTTCAAATTACTTATCACCTCCAGCAGCAAAGCCTGCTCTATTCCAGCAGCTATAAAGCATGATAGAGATGCTCTACTGATGTCTTTTAATGAGCCATTTATCTAGGCTGCTGATTTTTGATTTATCCAACACAGAACATAAGGAAAATCAGGTGTTGCTCATAGAAGACCTTCCTACAGATATTTTTCTCCTGCTGTCCTTCTGAAAACTGGAAACTGCATCTACCTGGCACACAGCATTCCTGAAAATACGGTTTTTCTAAATTTCCAGTGTTTTGAAAAAAGTTTGGCTATCTGGGTATGGAATTTATTGGTAATCCCCTTTACTTAAAACTTTGTTTTCTTATCATGTAAACACTCTAGAAAGCAAGTCCTAATACTAAAATCCAAACACAATATCTTCACATGCAAAACAAAGATTGGCGCACACATGCTTTGAACACCCTTTTACCAATCTTTGATGATCATATGGCACAGTCACTGTAGGTTACCTCCCAACATCTTCCTGATCTCTCTCTTGGATGTTAACTGGGCTGGCCTCTCCCCTTTCTTTGTCAGGATGTCCTTGTCAGCCCCAGCATGCAGCAGATAAGCCACGACTGCCGCATGGTTCCGCTTGCAGGCCCAGTGCAAACAGGTCCTGCACATGGAAAACACTGTGTCAAATCCTCAGTTATGGCAGATTTGTTCCCACTCATTCTTGCTGCCTATAAGAACACTCTACGTACATGTAAAATAGGTTTGAGTTGCTAACTTCATTGGAAATTTGCCCTGGACTGGGAGTCTGCAATGGCACCTGCTGATGCCATTTTCTCTTTGCTCCAATGATCTTTACTGCAATAGTATTTTCAAAGTTCAGGATCTTTTCAATTTATCATTTCTTAGGGTACAGTCTTTAGGCTACTGGAAAAATAAGTATGAAAGTAAGGTTTGTGTATGATATTTTAATCTTTAAAAGAATCAGCTGTACTTAGAATACTTGTGTTTGTGTATATGTGATCTATTACTGGTATCTCCCTAGGACATGTACTCTTTAATTAATGCTGCCAGCACGACTACTTGCACTTTCTGGCAAGTAAATGTAATTTAAAATATTGTAAGCATCATTTCTAAGAACAGTTCTTTGCCCAATTGCCATTTGCTGTATCAGCAATTACTTGGCTTAGATCTGCAGACAACTAATTTTCTGCAATCTGTAAGTGATGCACAGAACTAATCCCTTTTCTGCATTTTCAAATTATTATTTGCAGTTTCTGACTAGAGAAACATATTAAGGAAACATAAAAGCTGCTTAGTGCTCAGATCTTATTTAGTGTATGTATTAAGTACTTAAAGACTCACACATTAACTTGCTATAGAGTTGTACCATTCTTTCCTACCCATGTTCTAGTGATATTTGACCCTTCTCTAGCTTTTATATTTTAATTCTCTAGCTCCAGCTGAAGGAAATTCTTCAGGAAAATGAACATGCTCAACCCTTCTCCAAGTTTGTTTATTTATTTTTTAAGAATTACATAAAATAAAGCAGAGATAAATAAACTTAGAAGGGAAAAATCTGTCAGTTGAAAGTTTTCAAAAAGCTTTTTCAACTTTGGGTGGTTTGGTTTGGTAGGGTTTTTTTACAGAAAGAGACTGCAAAGTCAGACAGGGGGTATTTGCATTGAGAACAAAATTTGCTGGTTTAGTTTTTAGAGAAGATATGTAAAGCTCAACAGCACAGCTTCAGTTGGGATTCATCCTAGCCATTCCATATGGCCTGTGCAGAGAGGAACCATCTACCCACAGACTTGATACTCACCAAAATATAAGTACTCAGCACCTCTAAGAATCACACATACTAAGAAGCTCACTGCAAAAATTTTAATTGTACAAACTTGAACAACAATGAGGATCCATTTATTGCCATGGTTAAAAACTACCATGTTGCAGGGTGAAGCAATATCCTGTTTTAGCTATCCCAGTTTCCCAGGTGTGCCAACCTCTCCCTTCCCCTCCCCCTTGCCCCCTTGCTAAGTGCTGCCGGTCAATTTTAACATTCCAGCACGGGCGCAGTCTGGTTGGTGAAGTTCAAAAGATGCTCCTCAGCCTTGGGGTCACTGGCCCGTCCGGGTGTCATTGTCCCCTGAGACTCCGTCCTCCCACCTGGTTGGTGGCACACCTACCCCTTCCCTCCCCCTTTCCCCGGGCTTACAAAGACACGGGACCGTGCGGTCGGGATTCTGTTGGAGCTGTTACCAAGATTCAGATGTCTGTGACCCTGAAATAAAACTCTGGATTTAACCCTCTGGCAGAATCCATCTCCTTTTCCTCTTCACCTCGCCTAAAGCCTTTCCATCAGAGGTAAAACCTGAGTTCCTGCTCGCCTGGACTCGTTCCAAGTGACAGCTGCCACATACAGCTGGCCAAAGGTGTCTCTGAGGTGAAACCACCTCATTTGCCGCCTCTGGTCGAGCAGCAAGAGCCAGACGAGCCCAGGCACGTTCCATCCGCTAATATTGGAACCTTACTGCAATACTACCAGATCACTATTTTTAAAAATAATTAATTTTATTACAAGACTTATTTCATCAATTCCAGTTTTAGACACAAACTTATCCCGATGACAGGCTGGTTTTTATCTCACTCACTAAGATAATTCAGCATCCTTTGAATCAGTTGTATTTTTACAAGCTTTAATTTTAATGACAGTTTAAAGCTCAAGTTGTTAAGTGTTCCATCCTTCTCAAAACTGCTGATTGAACTTTCATCTTCAAATGTCTTGCTCCTTTCCTAATTTTGTTTTTCCTGTTTTTAATTATAATGTCATAGAATCCTAGAATGGTTTGAGTTGTAAGGGACCCTAAAGTTCATCTCATTCTACCCTCTGCAGAGACAGGGACACTTTCCACTCTCCCAGGTTGCTCCAAGCCCTGTCCAACCCAGCCTTGAACATTTCCAGGACAGGAGCAGCCAGTTTCTCTGGGCAACCTGTGCCAGGGCTTCCCCACACTCACAGGGAAGAATTTTTTCCTTACATCTAATCTAAGTCTCTCCTCTTTTAATTTAAAACTGTTCCCCCTTGTCTTATAACTATCTGTCCGTGTAAAAAGTTGTTTCCCCTTTCTTATATATTTTCAAGCGTGAAACAGCAAATACAGGCTGAATTGAGCCTGCAAAAAACAGTCTCCAAAAATGTCTTAGCATTCCCTCAAAAATCTTCCTTCAAATAAAATTATGCATCTGTTTATGTCTACAGTGTTACTTGTACAAGTGTGTATTACAGAACAGCCTTCTCTTTAATGTCCTCAGGTGGATCTAAACGAGATGCCAAATCCCCAAGTGTTTGCATACATCGCTAGAACAAGTTCCCTGCTTGAAAGAGAAAGTAATTTTCAAACTTGAGTTAATAATAAATATTTCTGCTTAGGCAAGATCATGTAAAGCTGAGGTTTGTGTTCTGACAGACCACACCGTCTCAGGCTGGGGAAAAAAAAATCAAAACCAACACTACAAAGTAAGTCCACAATGACCTAGAGAAGGGGCAGACAGGGCAGGAGGTGGAGCGAGGACGCGTGTTTGTGACCCTGGTTATCCTCTCTGGAATAGGGACAGCTCCACAGCAGAGTATTCGGAGGCGGATCGACCTTTTCCTTCCTCCTCAATTCACCCCGCCTCGCCTTTCACGTGCGGAGCGAATGGACAGCAGCCTCGGCACGGGACCGCCCGGGCCGAGCTCCCCGGGAGACTGGGTTCGGGGGGCGCCCTTACCATCCGTTGACTTCGTTCTGGGAGTTGAGGCCGACCCCCAGCTCCACGAGCCGCCGCACCTCCTCCGCGTCGCCGAGCGCCGCCGCCTCCCTCAGCCGCTCCTGCCGCTCCCGCTCCGCCATCTCCCCGCAGCCGCCGCCCGCCTCCCGCATCGCCTTCCGCGCTGCCGCGGCCGCGCCGCGCCTCCGCCGCTACCCCCGCCGCTACCCCCGCCGTGCTCCGGCGCGGGGGACACTATTGCCGGTGACAACCCGGCCCCGACAGCCGGTTCCGGGGCGCGGCCGCTGCCCAGGGACGGGCCAGACCGGGCAGTCCCGGGTAAATGTTGTTGAAATGACGTACGGAGGCATCGTTATGTGCTGTCTCTTGCTCTGATGATTGTTTTTGCGGGCTCTCGATTTATCATAGAGTGAATTATGGAATCATCGACTGTTAAGTATTGGGAGGGACCTTGAGATCATCTCGTTCCACCCCCCCCCCCAGCCGCTCTCCACGGGCAGGGACACTTTTCACTACGCCGGGTTATTTAGAGGCCCCGTCCAGCCTGGTATTGGACTCTTCTAGGGGTGGGCCACATTTCTAGCTCACTGAGTGTCTGTGGTAATTTAATTAAGATTAATTTTATACAGTGGTTTTACTCAAGGAAAGAAGAACTTTATTATAACCACTGTTGTGCAAAAACCTTCTGCTAAAGAGGCTAAATAGAGGGATTCAGAAAAACTGGATTTGCCTGGTAACTCCATGAGGAGGTACTGAAGAGATTTTTAAGATTATGATGATTTGGGTTGGGAAGGAACATGACACCTATCCCGTTCCAACCTCCTGCCATGGGCAGGGGCAACTTCCACTAGACCAGGTTGCTCCAAGCCCTACCCAGCCTGGCCTCGAACACTTCCAGAGATGGGGCACCCTCTTGTCCTGCAGAGGAAACTCTTGTCATCTTTGTGCATTCTCAGCAGTCAAAGAATCCGTAAAAAACATAAGTAAAATAAAGATCACTATCTGTCTGCAAAGCAACTGGAAAGATTATAGGTAATTCCTCCCATTTTCATGGTTTGGTTTGAAAAGCTGATTTTTGTTGTCATGGATTTGTCCTAATCCAAGTTACAGAGCGGTCAGTAAAAACTTTACCACTATGAAAAGTCAAAATAATAATTTCAGACTTCACTCAGACTTTTGTATTCCAGGTTGCTCTGTGCAGCCGTGGCAGAATGCCAGGGAATTCTGGGTAGTTGGTCTCCAGTGTACCTGTTTGCCTCCTCGATGCAATCAGAATATTACAAAGAAACTGAAACAGCCCAAGTTCTGCCCCAGTTCCCAGCATTAGCACCCCACCTTCCCTTCCATCCCCAAACTGAGACTGCAGGATATTGACTGAAAATTCATACCATATCTTGTGCTACATTGATTTCAATCACACTGTTTCAACCGTTCCGTTGGGTTCTTAAATCATTTCAAGCTGGAAAGCTTGAAAGAGGTTCAAGGTGCCTCACAGTGCTGCATCAGGGAGACATTTCCAAAAGGAAACTCCTCAGATAACAACTGGTGCTTGCATGAAGCCCTCAGTGATGCTGAACAAAGTTGCTGTCAGTCTAAGCCGGTTTTACAGGATCAGCATGAACATTGGCTTCAAGCATTTCAAAAAATATGATATAATTAAAATTTTAGTTAGTTGTATGTACCTAGGACATTCAAAATTATGTTGAGCAATTGTAAAATAATTGACAATTGCTATGTGAAATTCAGTATATATTGAGTACAAAGTAACATCTAGAAAAGAAAACAAAGTGGGCTGCTTCCAAGGTCAAAGACTAAGATTTTTGTTACATATGCAGGACTTCTATTCTCCCTCAACCTGTGAAGCATGGGACAGGCTTTCCAGAGAAGTGGTGGTATCATCCCTCGAAGCATTCGAAAAATGTGTGAATATGGCACATGAGGACATGGTTTATTAGTGAATGTGGTGATGGCTGGACTAGATGATCTTAGAGGCCTTTTCCAACCATAACGATCCTACAATTCCCCGAATTCCTATGTGATCATGCACAGCTGGAGGCACTCAGAACAGGGACTCAGAAGGAGCGCATGAGGAGCAGTTTGGGTGACCTTCTCCTGCCAGGATGGAGAGGGGACAATGACACTGCTTCAGCTGTGCTCAGGCCCGTGTCCTTAGCCTCCAGCCACGACCAGCTAGGCCACTAGCACGTTGTCTCTGTGCTGTGTCCCTGCATTCGGACACCGCACTGGGCTGGACACTCTGTCGTGACAAGTTACCATCTGCAGTGATACCACACGGATCCGGACAGCATTTGTCAGGACACCTCACTGGGCAGGCGCCGTCTGTGTGGCACCCGCTGCCCCTTACGCGGAGCCACACGCGCCCGTGGTGGTTCCGCGTTCCGGTATTTGTCGGGACTCCCCGTTCCTCCTGCGCGCCACACGGCTGCTCGGGCTGGGCAGCGCGGAGGCGCCGTGAGGGAGCGGAGCACGGCGGGCTCGGCCCGCGCGGTGCATTGTGGGCAGGGCCAGCCACCGCCGCCATTTTGTCTCCGTCAGGCGCGGCGCGGGTTGTCGGGGCGAGGTGGGCGAGCTGGTGTCTGGCGAGGGGGATTCGGCCCGCATCTCACGATGATATCGGCCGCCCAGCTCCTCGATGAGCTCATGGGCAGGGACAGGAACCTGGCCCCGGATGAAAAGCGCAGCAACGTGCGGTGGGACCACGAGAGTGTGAGTGTAGCGGGGCCGCCTCTCTCCTCCCTCCGCTGCTCTCGCGCACTGCGCGGAACCGGGGGTTTGTCGGAGCGACATGGGCGGCTTCTCTTGACCAGGGACAACTGCAGGAAGGAGGGAGAAGGGGGGAAGAGGGAAGGCATGGCGTGCCGGCCGGAGCTGGGGTTCCGCGTGGGTTGTCGGGGTGCGGGTCGGGCCCTCCGTGCTGGGCCCTGCATGGCGGCCTGGGGCGGGCCGGCCCTGGCCGTGCGCGGGACCGGCGCCGAGTCTCACCGAGGAGGAGGAGGAAGGTCCCGACACAGGCGGGCTGTTGTTGGGCTGCAGGAGGGACAGCCCCGGTGTTTGGGTGTCTTCGGGGGAAGGCTGTGCCCGCCGGCGCCGCCGTTAACGGGAACGGGGGTTTCCAGGGAGCTGCTGGTGGCAGGGGTCTCCCGGGGCGGCTAAAGGAATTCAACACTTCTGAGTGGAA